CCCCAAAACCCCAAAACCCCAAAACCCCAAAACCCCAATATGATGCTAAAATATTGAAATATAAGAGCCATAAATTATTTATAAAAAAGGATGTTTAAGTTCCTCCAAAGGAAAAACTCAGGTAGGTATCATCTTTGATCCAGACATAGTCAAGATCATACAGAATACTCCACTTAGGTTCTGTAGTACCAAGAATAGTGGTCCTAGTGCTGATAATAGTCAGATAGAGAATCTAAAGAATGAAAAGATTACTACTACACAGAAAAAGGAAAATATTGAGAAGAAAAGCCATAGTTTATCATTCTTTTAAGGAAAGATATGATTTGCATCAGAAACAATTGAAGCATGATTTGAATGACCAGGGAAATTTTTCTATAGTAGAAGGCCAAAATCAGCCTTATGAGCAAGATTTCTCAGGAATGGATCGTGAATTTGCACAAAAGATCAAGTGTAAAATTGGATCCTAATGTATAGCTTATGAAGAGCTTCAGCAGCTTAGCCCTCAAGAGCGGAAAATCTTCTATCAAGATGTACTCAAAGTTAAATTTCCTCATACTAAATTTTCTGAGCGTCTACATTCTAATTTTAAAGAGCCTGCAATGGTACCTCTTTTAACTTGGCAACTTTACAACTGGCAGCATTATACCAGAGGGAATCGACCAACATGGACTACTCATGATGGTCCTTCTTTCACTTCTGGAACTCCTCACCTAGGCTTGTTTTACAATAAGACCTTGAAAGACTTTTTGAACAGATTCAAACTGCATCTTGGGTACAAAGTAGACTTTAACATTGGATTTGATTGCTACGGAACTGCTATAGAAAACATTGCTCTTAATACAGCCAAAGGATCGGAAGCCAACTCTTCTGATTACAAATTCTCTGAAAGACTTGATACAAAACTTATGAAAGAGGACAGAGATTTTGACCAAAAAGCACTCAAAGTCAGGGAAATTTGTAGAGATTTTGTCAAAACTAGCATGAAATCTCAAATTGAAGCTTTTATGAGATGGGGTGTCATGCATGATTATAGGTACTCCTACATGTCCCTCAACAAGAATTATGAAGCAAATGTTTTGGAAACATTCGCTACTCTTTTAAATAGAAATTTAGTTTTCAGAGGAGGTAGACCTGTCTTCTTTTCCACAAAAGATCAGAGAGTGTTAGCTGAAGAGGAAATTGAAGAGAAGGCTGCAATCGGGCCTGCATACTTAGTCAAATTTCCTATCAAAACTTTTGGAAATGAGAGTAAAAGTCTTGAAAGTCTTGGAAATATTAATCTACTTGCTTTTGTAAATGAGCCTTGGAAATTGGCTTCTACTCAAGCTCTTGCTATCAATCCTAATACCAAATATGCTCTTGCAAAAGACTCCAAGAAAAATTATTTTATTATTGCTCTTGATAGGCTGGGTGAATTAAGCATTAGGCTAGATAGAAAAGATTTCAGTACAGATCTAGTTGCTCCAGGAGAAGCCTTATATGGCATAGAACTTGAGCATCCTATATTCTCTCATATCACTCTCCCAGTTGTTCCAGATCTTAAAGTATCTCCAAGTTTTGGGACTGGAATAAACATCGTATCTCCATTATCCTGTATGCATGATCTTGATTTATCAGAGACATACAACCTTAGCATTGATTCATACATCACAAAAGATGGGCTTTTCACAGGAGATTTACACCCAGATCTCGAGAATACAAATCCATTCAAGAAAGGAAATGAAGTGATCACGAATTTGCTCTACAAACAAGACAGAGTAATGGCTAGCTACCAATATGAGTATGAATATTCCCGTATTAAAGAAACCAAGGAGAGAGTCCTCCTCGCCTCTATTGATTCTTGGTTCTTCAGGATTCCAGACCAATTGAGGCAGAAATGATTTGAAGAGCTTGCTTTTTGCAAATTCAGACCTTCTCTCAACGTTAAAAAACCTGAACAAGTTGACAAAGATTATGAAAAGCTCAGTAGGTCTCAGAACGAAGGTAGCGGAGAAAGTGTCGGTGCTTATTACTTCAATGTTGTAGAGGAGCTTAATGACTTCGATGATTGGTGTATCTCTGAAAAGACCTATTGGGGTGTTCCAATTCCATACTTTTATAACAAGCTCAACAGAAAAATCCTCATTGATCAAAGTATCATAAAGCATGTAGCTAATATCTTCAGACAAGGTGGCTCAGACGAATGGTATAGACTCCCGATCAGAGATTTACTTCCTGAAGAATATAAGGATCTGGCTCCCAACCTTGTCAAAGGAGATGAGGTATTCGATGTCTGGTTTGATAACTCTCTCACATGGAAATCAGTCTTAGTTGATCAAATCAATAAAGATAGCTCACTTAGCAGTCAAGAGGCTGAAATTGATAATGCACTTGTGAAATTGTATCCTGAGTATAGGACACTAGAAGACATCAATAAAGAAGTTGATGAGAAACTTCCTCCGCCACCTAGAAGAGGAAGAAAATCTGTATCTCGTCTCCATCAGCATCAAAAACAGAAGAAGGAACTTTTAGAACAACTTAAGAGAGAAAGAGATCAGATGATTCGAGCTACAGATATCGAAACATTCAGGAGTATTATTCCAGATAGTGCAAGGTGGAAAGAGAAACAGATTCTTGATTGTATCAACAATAAAATAAGTGCTGACTACCAAAAGCTTGGTATTAATCAATCTTTTCCAGCAAATTGAGTTGTTGAAGGATTTGACCAGCACTCTAAATGGTTCCTTACTTCAGCCTTGACTTCTGTTGCATTGACTAATTCTTTACCTTTCAACATGATCAAGACACATGGATTAATTTATGACCAAGATGGGAGCAAGATGTCTAAAAGTTTAGGGAACTATGTTGATCCTCTTGACATTATAGAAGGTACTGAAAAGTTATCTGGTAAGAGAGAATATGGTTTTGGAGCAGATGTCCTCCGTCTCTGGTGTATGGAAAACAACACAGATGAAGTTCTTACCCTAAACAACCAATCTATCGCTCAAAGTCAGAGGATGTTGAAGTACATCAGGTATATTTTTAAGAACATTCTGGGAAAGCTAGATGAATTTGATCCTTCCGAAGAAGTTGATGTTGAAGAACTCTCTATTCTTGACAAATACACTATGCTGAAGTTACACGAAGCTATTGAGGAGACAAGTCAAAGATATCAAAATGTCGAAATAGGAAATGCATTGAGCATGAGGTAATTGAAGTTTTGGAATCATTTTTGGATTCGAGCAGTCTAAATAATTTTAGAATGTGTTTTATTTGCGATATTCGCATTTGTTAAATCCCTCAAAGGCTTAAAATGTTATTTTGTGATTTCCTAAATTTTTAAATCATTTAATAATAATTTTCACTTAAAGATAAGTTTCTTGGTCAAGTAATAATGTTTTACTATAATAGTTATAAGCTGGCCAAGGAATTATCCATCCACTAACTTCTAGCTCAAACACTATTTTTAATCTTATTAAATATTTGCAATTCCTTTGAAGTGTCCAAAACTAACAATTTATAGTTTTGTTGACTCGAGTACCCAATTTACTCGTCTTTTCGAGAACTCACCATTTGTGCTACACGAGATTGCTAAAGCATACATGGTGATGCTTAGCCCAATCATACCCTTTACAGCTCAGGACATATACGAGCATATGCCTAGCTACGATCCGAGACTTCCATGCGTGAGTCAGCTTCGCTGGCCAAATATTGAAGAGAAACTTTCTATTAATTTCCTTAGAGATTTCTCTCTTAGAGATAAGATTGATCATATCATTGCTCTTTCAGATAGAGTCTCTCATGAAATTAGAAAATTAGGAAAGCCAAATTCTCAAAAAGGTAAACTAGAGTTACATTAACTTTCTACAGGAAAATCATCCATCCAATTGAATGAAGTAGATGTAGTGTTTGAGGTAAAATCTCCTGACTCAGATGAAGCCATCCTTCTCGAATATCTCGAGCCTGAGCTAGAAAAGATATTTGGAGTATCAAACGTAGAGATTGGAACCAGCTATAATCTCTCTAAAGAAAGGCCTCCTACTCCATTGAAGTCATTAAAGCAACATTTCCACATCACAGATTACATCACTGAAGAGAAGGTCAAATATGAGATCAACTGTAAAGTCTACCATTGTAAGCATCCAAAGATGAAATCTTTCCCAAATGCGAGTAAGCTTGTAAGCATTATATTCTAGAGATTAACAAATGAATCAGATGCCTAAAATTCAAATGCACACAATCGCAGATGATTTGTCTTGAGTGCATGTCCAAAATCCAGGATGCTTTGAAGCAAGAACAAGTTCCAGAAATAAACACACAAAAGCAGCAGAGTATCGAATAAAGATTCAAAATATGTTCAATTTAGAAACATTTTTTCGGGGTTTTGGGGTTTTGGGGTTTTGGGGTTTTGGGGTTTTGGGGTTTTGGGG